TGCTTTAGTCTTGGTTTTATCACTCTTTAATATTTTATTTATTTTTACTCTTTCTCCATGCCATCATTTCCTCTCTCATTAACACTCCCACTTTTATCTATCTCACTCTATCATTCTATCTTTTTACTTTCATTTCTCAGAAAACCAGGTCCTCTTCCACACCGCTGCACATCGACAAAAATTGCAATCCACTGTTCTCATTGCTCCACCACATCACCATACTCTCTCTTTTCCACCCTCTTTCTTCTCATCGAATAGCAGAGGGTGAAGACGAGAGATGACGGCGACCAAAGATAACAAGGCTGCAAAACAAAAAAAATTGCAGCCTACAAGGCCGATTGGATCACCCCCTAGAACACCTAGAGAGCGCCTAACTCCAACCCGATTTTACTGGACGATTTGGTCTAAATCACGGCAATAATCTATCTCCTAGCGCCTAGGCTGATTTTTAGAACATTGGTAAAAACCCTAGTTAGCGCAGTTAACAAATCCTAGGATGACAACCGATCTGAAATGTGAACAATTGCAATTTAACATATCCAACATCTAACAACAAACCAAAGGTCAAGGCACGTCACAGACAAAAGCACAAGATGATCCAAAAGGACCCCATTATCCAACAAATCAGTAGCATTTGGAATAAACTACCAACACAAAGCACCAAAGGGACCCTTTTATCGAACATTAGAATAAACAAAAGCACCAAAATTTTTGTTAAACAATTATCCAAAGCACAATAAAAAAATAACCTTTTTCTCAACAACAATAAACAAAGCACCCAAAGGACCCCTATTATCCAACATATCAATAAACATTTTGAATAAACAAACAACAAAACCCACCCATCGCCAATAAAGATTTTGGAATCAACAAACCCTAAACAGCGAGACTAAAAAACGGGAAACAACAAAGCACAAAACGAAGTGAAAAAAGTACTTACAATAGGTAGGTGTCATTTCCTCGGGATCCTAGCACATTCCACCTCATTTCGAATCCTTCGAAATACTGTTGAATCCTTAAAAAACATGTGAAACTTAGGGTTTAAAAAAAAAAAAACAAACAGAAGAAGGAAGCTTGGTGACAACGAGACGAGCTTAGGGCTTTCGTTGAACAAGCTAATTGATCGTGATTTGAGCGGGCCGATGATATGAAATTAGGGTTAGGGTTCTTCGATTTGGGAACTTGAGCGAAATTGAAATGGAATTGCATGGTTGAGGCTTTAGGTTTCAATTCGAATTGCACGATTTACGAGCCAAATTTTTTTATTTGAATATATTTTTAAATTTTTATTGTAATATCCACATGTGATCCTTTTAGATGATCCACGTGTTTCAGAAAACAACGTGGACTTCCATTTGTGGAGGGAATGAGACTCAACATAAGTCACGTCAGCATTTAACGGAGAAATTGATAGACAAACTGACAGATGTATAACATTGCAATAAAATTGTATGATAAGGTATGACATTGCAATGTTTTAAAGATAAGGTATAAAATTGTGGGTGGCCTAATAATTGAGGTAATTTTGTGTAATTTACCACAAAAATAAAAGATATTGTGTTTAAACACAATAAAACACAACATAATAGAAGCAACACCAAATACTAAAGGGTACAAAAGTACCTTAATATAAGTTGAATCACAATCTCATACCTTATGTTTAAACATTACAATATCATACCTCAACTTATGAATTTGTTGCAATGTTAGACCTCCGTTAAATTTTCTGTCAATTTAGTTTTTAAATGATGACGTGGCAGGAGCGGAACCACTATTTCCCCTATTGGAATAAAACATTAATTTTTTATTTTGAAATTATTAATTTTTTTTATTTAACAATGTATATTTTTTGTCTGTTTTTTTCTTGTCTTTCTCCGCACCTGCATCTCTATCTCGCCTGCAACCAACCGCAATCCTACATCTCACCTGCTGCACTCGTTGGCACTCCCATATCGTCAACCTACCTGCACCGTTCAAACCCCTTTTTGACAAAGTTCAGACCCGATCTGGAGCCTGATGTGCTCCGCTCGAACCCGGTGGACTGGCAGAGGACTTGGTGAAGGTGTGGCTGCGGGGGCGGGAGGTTTTGGTGTGGGTGAGGGGTTTTGAGTGCGAGTAGAGAGGGGAGAATGGCAAGAAGGAGGTGATGGTTCTGGGGTTGAAGCGTTGGGGCGGTGATTGCGGCAAGGCCGATCTAAGAAGACGAATCCCAGTGAATCGACGGCAAGGCCGCGGAGGTCGATGTTCTTATAGAATTGCTAAACTAAATGGAAATAATTTCATGCTTGCTGCCGTATAAATGGTTACATGTGATTAAGATTACAAAGAGTCCTATGGATTAAGATTACGGACGAGGATCCCATCCGGATCCAAATGATGAGGATCCTAGGATTCTTCACATTCAAAACGTTTATCGTATATCGTTCGATCAATTTTCGTTAGATACAAATTTTAAATAATAAAATTTAAATGATTTATAAACGTACGATATACGATGAACGGTTAGTATATGAGGATCCTTATGATCCCACCATTTGGATCCGGATGGGATCCTCATCCTAAGATTAAGATTACATGTCATAATGTATATATTGTTAAATAAAAAATTAATAATTTATTAATAAAAACTATACTCTATTAACAAAAATTAATTAATTTTTATTCTAATATGGAAAAGAGTGGGTCTCACTCCTGGCACGTCATCATTTAATAGTCAAATTGACAAAAAGTTTTGATTGAGGTCTAACATTGTAACAAATTCATAAGTTGAGGTATTACATTGTAATATTTAAAATATGAAGTATGAAATTGTGGTTCAACCCATAGTTAAGATTGTTTTGTATAATTTACCCAATACTAAAACATGATTTGTAGATTTCAAGGGGTGGGGTAGATTAGGTCCTAGGTTCGAGGCCTGATGTGGGTGGGGTGAAGTGGGGGAGGTAAAAAAAAAAACATAGAGAAAAGAAGGAAATATTATAGATTATAAAATTATATAAACTCATGTATTTTTAATATATTAAAATCTAAAACAAGTATCCGAGATGATTACATTGTCCGCTCCATCGGTTTTAAAAAGGGACTAGGATTCTCTCCCCTCCTCTTTCCATCCCCTTCCATCTTCTTCTCTCACATTCTTTATTTTGTCTTTCTTTTTCTATAAAAAATTAATATAAGATTTTAACGTGGTTTAACCGTGACCGTTCAAATAGGAAGGGAGAGAAGGAGAGGGAAAAAAAGAGGGGAGAGAATCTTACTCCTTTAAAAAGAGCAAAACCCCACTGTTATCATATACCCACAATATTTTCTTCATTCCTACCCTTTTGCACCATGAAAAGCACAAAATGCCATATGATGATGATAAAAGTTGAGAATGCTATTGGTATTGAGGTGTGCTTGGTCTCCATAATGCAAGGCAACCATTGTTTAGATTAGGGGTGAATTTGATACGGTTACTGTATCAAAACTCTCATATCAATTACTGTATTAAACTTTCAGTTTGATAAAATCTATTATCACTATCGTACCAAATTTTAGGTATACCGAAGTTTGGTATTGCCAAATAGTTTGGTTGGCATGGTATGACAATGGTAATTGCCATTTTGTTTTGGGACAAAATCTATTTTTGTTTTTTTAATCCAATTCAAGGGCAAAACTTTCTTTTGTACCTTTATCTCATACATTGTAGCCTAAAATCATCTATTATTCATCATTCACAATTCACACACACAATAATTCAAATGATCCATCAAGATTCATGATGAAAATTAAGCTTACAATCTAAATAGAAGTTACGAACCAAAACAAATAGAAGTTAAAGTTTCAAACCAAATGAAAATTGGAACTAAACTTCAAAAAGTAAAATTCATTGATCAATTCTTCAATTTGAGATGTCGAAACTTTTGGAGGTGGTATTGAACTTGTGTCAAATCTACATTACAAACTAAAAAAACATATTAGTTGCAAGAAGAATTAAAGTTGAAGACCATTCAATAACAAGTTTACTAAAAATATTAAACATATCTTACTTGTTTCCACTTCTTCCATCTCCTTTTAAAATTGAAGCATATCTTTCGTTGGTTCCTTGTAGAAGTTTACTTCATCTGCCCTAAGCCAATCACTAGTACACACTAGTGCCTCTACCATTTTAGGAGTTAAGGATGCCCTAAAAGGGGCCACAACCCTCCTCCCTAGGTTAAATGCATTTTCACTAGTAACGGTAGAAGTGAGGATTGTAAAGATATCTTTGGCTAATTGTGAAAGAATTGAGAACTCTTTTGTGTTTAATTTCCACCAACTCAAGAGATCAAAGCCACCAACAACAATGCTAATATAAGGAGCGGCAAAGTACTTATCAACTTCATTTGATATCTCCAAAAGGCGTTGCTCTCTCCTTTCTTTATAAGCTCCTTCATCATTTTAATTTTGTTCTCATCACCCCCACAAGCTTGAATTATGAACTCCTCATTTAGTTTTACATCTTTCAATAGAGCCCCAATGGTAGTAGAAGAACCCCTCCTATGCTCATTATACAAATCAAGCAAGCAATGAAATATTATAAATGTGTTAATATAATTATATATTATACAATTATATATTGTGTTATATTTTTGGTACGGTACGGTAATATCGTAGTAACGGTATCCATTACCAATACCGTACTATAAAATTTCCGTATGGTACAATACCGTAACATTACCGATTGGCACAAAATCGATATGGTACGGTTGGCACGGTAATTTGGTAAAAAAATCCACCCCTAGTTGAGGTATGAATATATTTCAAGAGAGACGACATGCATGTTTAATCATTGAACAATAAAAAATGCGGAATACTACAAATCCATGTGAACTTGCAACACATTTGAGATTATCATATTCCCAACCAAACATGTATGTAGCTTTATTCAAAAGTAAAATGCATTGATCAAACTCCACACAATTGCTAGACAACGACGGCGCCCTCAAATCTCCAATTTTCTTTCTATAGCTGTGACTGGTTTACTGTTTTATATCTTCGTCAACAAGTTCCTCAAGTGTATTTGTTTCCCCTACCTTCATAGCAAACAACCCAATTGAGTCTTGGTTCATCATTTCCCTTGGTGTTGACTCTATGATTGCCGGGTCGTACTCTGTCTTGACTTCAAACCTAAACGAACAAAAGGAAATTAGAGCACTCAAACGTACTCTAACAAAAACTAGAATCTCTACTAGTTTTTGTTCATCAATTCAGACGTTGTGGCATACCTAAAATACATTGCCAGCCACGAATAGGAATGATGAAGGTACATTAGGAATTAGGATCAAACATTATCCACTCATCACCCCTTGTGTTTACTTTTAGACCTTTGAGATTTTGGTGGAGAATGGTGGAAAAGCTCTTGTCTGTATGACCCACTGGCCCCTCATCAATTTTAACCATCTTGGGTTCTTTGTATTTTGCAAACTATAGGAAGTAAGAATTCTATTGAATGTGATTGTCATGTACTTCTCTACACCATAGTTTTCAAATACCATCATCGTCACGGCTTGATCTGGCTTACGCATCACATTTGCATACACATCTGTATTATTACTGGCCAACAAATAACAAAAGAATATTAGCATAAGATGAAGATGAAAACTATATCTTATCAAATGTAGATAAAGTTATGTATATTCATACCAAAATTGGTCGTTTCTCTCAGGCCAAAAGAGTTGTGCAAACTTCTGAGTTTCTTCAATGTTTGTAGGGTTATTAACCCCCAAACCTTCATGACTATGTTATAAGTGAAATGGCCACAGTAGGGATTTCCTTCGTATCGGTTTTTGGGTTTGAGCTCACTAGGGGCATCAAACAAGTCCTTCACTGCAGCAAAGATGTTGTTTTGAAGCTCCGAGTAAACATCGTTGGGCATTATTGCCTCAAAACAACCAAGTTCTTCGAGTGCACGACATACATCGTTGTAGATTGAGAGCCAAGAACTTATCCCTGGCTTCAAGCAGTCCTCTTTGGAGAAATCTATGACTGAAAGTTTGGCCATTATTTGCTTGTAAACTCATGCAACCAAATGTTTTCCTTCTGACTAGCTAGGAAGTTTTGAGGGATCTAAAGGGTAAACTTAGAGTGAGTAATGTAACATACGAAAAGAGGAAGGATTTTATAGGGTTTTTCCTTTTTGTGGGGCAATAGGCGAATAAAAAATGCAATTCTGGACTTTTCAAGAGTACCAAGTTTGCTGGTGTGCAAAAATCCTTAATTTTCTTCGGTGCTAATACCCCACATTCTGTTCACCATGAGTTGTGAACAATCCTCAGTACGACTCAAGTATTTGATCCTGGGCTTTATTTGGGTATCCCTACAATTTGGGGAAGATCTAAAAAAGCTGCACTTGCTTTGGTTAAAGAAAGGGTCTTGGCTAAAATATAGGGGTGGAAACAGTCATTTCTATCTCAAGCAGGTCAGAAAGTGTTGATTAAAGCGGTAGTCTAAGCTATTCTAGCCTATCCAATGAACTTGTTCCAGTTCCCAGATACACTTTGTCAGGAAATTGATTCAGCTGTTGCTCGTTTCTAGTGGGGCCAAAAAGAGGGGGAACGGAAAATTCATTGGATGAACTGGGAGACTTTGGGGGTGGCAAAATGTGAGGGTGGAATGGGGTTTAGGAATCTCAGTGAATTTAACTTGGCTCTTCTAGGGAAGTAGTGTTAGCGACTAATAAACGAACCCAACTCTCTTTGGGCTCAAGTTATCAAAGGGCGGTATTTCCCTAATTGCTCGTTCATGGAGGCGAAGCGTGGGAGTATGGCCTCTTGGGCTTGGTCGAGCCTCTTGGCTAGAAGAGAAGTGATTGCAGCGGGTTCACATTGGCAAATCATGGGTGGGGGTCAGACTATGTTGCGGAGGGATCGTTAGATTCCGTCGTTAATTCGGGGACACCCAACCCCTGATTCTAATCAATTGGTTTCCTTAATCAGTCAAGTGTCCCGTTGTTGGCAGATCAATGCAATTAGTGATGACATTTCAATGGGTGACCAAGCAGCAATCCTTGACACTGCTATCGGTGACGAGGAGAGGCAAGATAAGCTCATCTAACACGCAGATCGACGAGGAAGGTATACGGTAAAATCGAGGTACCACTGAGTACATAATCAAGCACACCACAACCAGTTTCATCAGCCATCTTTGTCAATGTTTATCAACACCTCTGTGTGGAAAGCCATCTGGAGGTTAGACATCCCACCGAAAATAAAAAATTTCCTTTGGAGGGTTCTCAATAATGCAATTGCCACCAAACTCAAGTTATTTCGAAAACGTTGTGGGTCTTCTCCGATATGCTCTTTCTGCAATCTCCAAGAGGAATCGATTAAACATGTATTGTTATTAAGCCTATGGATAGACGGTGTTTGGTTTGGTGGTCCGTTGGTTATCGAGTTCAGAGAAATTCCATAACCACAGTCTATGTTTGGTTTGAGCACTTGTTGAATGGGGCCGCTGGAAGCATTGATGAATGAATGCAATCCTTGGTCCACATTGCGTTCACATGCTGGAATATTTGGAAGTCTCAGTGCAATGCTATCGTTAATCATAAGCTTCAATCTCCTCACCAAACCTTACATGTTACCTCTTGTGCTCTTGCTTCTTTCTTGAGTGCGCAAGTTCTGGGGGAAACCGTGGGGTTACTAATGATCATGCTCCTGATAATACGTGGTCCCTCCACCTGGTGACACAGTAAAGATAAACGTGGACGCAAGTTAGAGGGATAATGGTAATCTGGGGTATATTGGAGTGGTGGTGCAAGATTCTAATTCTAGATGTCTAGTTATTTGGAGAAGAGCGATCAGGGCGATAAGTTGTGTAGCGGCGGAAGCTCTCAGCATGTTTGAGGGGTGCCTCATAGCCCAACAACACGGGTTCACAAAGTTTGTCGTGGAATCTGATTTGAATGAGGTAATCTCGTGGTTGAACGTGTGTATTGAGAATGGTTGCTGGGAGGCTTTCCCTTCTCTGTGCAAGATTCAATAGTTAGGGGAGTCCTTCCATGCATGTGTCTGGTCTTGGGTCCCAACATTGGCAAATAAAGCGACAGATTACGTAGCATTGCACTTTGTAGGGAGATGTGCGACTTGGTTTGGGTCGATCGGCTCCCATCTTCGTTTGTGAGAATTTTGAACAATGACGATCTCCCTTGTCCCCCTAGTTAGTTTTCTAGTGGTTGTAAGGGGTTGGCATTGTCTGTTTCAATGTCTTTCCTACTTCCCTTATTTCCATTTATGTTTCCTTGTTGCTTACCCTGAGTGGCTTTCTTTGTTCTCCTGGCTTCGGCCCTGGCAATGAAATATTTCCAATTCTAAAAAACAAAAATAAAATAATAATAAAAAAATAAAATAAAATAAAATAAAAAGAAGTTTGTTGGTGTGCTCTATCAGAAGGTCAAGTGGTTCCTGATTTTTGGTAAAATCAAGTAGCCTTGGATCTCTAGTAAGGCTGGTTCGGATCGGGTTTCTATCCAAAAGCCAATTTCGAAAATTGAACTGAAAAATTTCGAGACGGGAACTTTAAATCAGAAAATCGAACGGAAATTTCAGGAATTTTTGAACTTCAAGAATACCAATATTGTTTTGGTTTTTTTGTTCTAATTGGAAATTGGAAATTCGAATTTAAAATCCCTAATCCCAAATTCGAATTCAAAATCTCAATCCCCAGTTCAAATTTAAAATCCCTAAAATTTCAAATTTCTAATCCCCAATTTCAGAGTCCTTAATCCCTAAATCGAATTCAAAATCCCAATCCTAATTTTAATTGAAATCAGAAACCCCAGTCCCCAATTTCAGAGCTAATCCCCAATTCGAATTCAAAATCACAATACCTAATTTACCACTTGTATTACGATACTTGGATGGTTGATATTAAATCTTAGCCAACCTGACGGACCAATTAATTCATACACTGTTGTAGAAATGTATGTCCACTCAAATAATGGGCAAGTTGCCCTTCCACTATTTAGCATGTGATTTACTTGTATAAAAACAAGCCTTATGAAACACAACAAAGATATAGATAGATGTGAGAGGTTCACGGGAGAGAAAGGAAGGAAAAGAAAGAGAGAAATGAGAGGAAGAGGAGAGGAGATAATAGAGAGAGTTATCTTTGTACTCCTATTATTTCAAATTATAATGAAAGCACCACTGCTGCCCCGAGGACGTACTCCAGTCACACTGACTGTAGAGGAACCTCGTAAATTTTGTGTCTTGTTTCATTTATTCCACTGCACCCACAGTCGATTTTACAACACGTTATCAGCACGAGAAGCTCTCATGTCGGTGGAAAGCACTACTTACCTCTCACCTCTATTAGCTGGAATCTCACAGATAAGAAAATCTTTTCATTTCATTCTTATATCTCTAAATGACTAATTTTCTTAAAGTAAATATACATGTGGTTATATAAGTATTGTTATTATTATTGGCAGAAAATCCGACAATCATATGAGCTTTGAAAAATTAAACTTCCAGTGCTCATACAGAAACCATTCCTTCATAAAAGTTGTTCCTTATCCTCTCTCCCATAACATACCAAAATTCCAGAACCATCCAACGGTTAAATCATTCCAGATCTTAGAAATAATACTACAGACTCAAAATCCGCAGAAAATTTGGCAGCCATGTAAATAGCCACTGAACTCCAACTTCCTGACATCCGATTGAAATACTTTCTTCTTGAAAGTTGTTTGTCCGCCTAGTACCGAGAACATATCCAAATTTCAGAAATTGTCAACGGTGCGATCGTCGTAGATGACTGAAACTTCAACTCAGCTTCCATTTCCGCAGAAAACTGGACAGCCACCTTATGAGTAGCAAAACTCCATTTCGGTAGCTCAAATCGAAATTGTTTCTTCACGAAAGTTGTTTGGTATCCTCTTATCCATATCATACTAAATTTTGAACTAAATCTAACGGTTTGATCTTCTCATAAGTTTCAGACACTCTTGACTCCAAAACTTATGGGAACCGTTTCGACTTTTTCGAAACTCACCGGAGGAGGAACACCAATTGGAACTTATTGTTACTATTATTTACTGAGTAACCAAAATGACTTCGAACTGAAATAATAATAAAATAAAAGGGATGAAACAAAAGAAGTGGCAGACCAAGAAAATGAAAAAGCAAAACATGAGGACTTAATCATTGCATTTTCTGTTTTGGCATATTTATGTGCATGGTGTTGGTTTAAAGCCCATGTCACAAGTTCTACTTATTTAAAGCAATTTATTTACAAGTGGGTAGAATTATTATCTTTTGCTTTAAAGCTTTGATATTTATGTGAATGGTGCTGAATCAAAGCCCTTGTCACAAGCTTTATTTACTTTAAAACAATTTATTTACCATGGACGGTTTTACCGCCTATTGCTTTAAGTTTTAATGGTGCTGAATTAAAGCCCTTGTCACAAGCTTTATTTATTTAAATGCAATTTATTCATTATGGCTGGAATTACCGCCTATTGCTTTCATTTATTTATTGTACTTATCTTTTGTTACAATGAGTATAACAAGGACCCAGAGTTCCTTAATTAGATCAGAACCTGCAGTTTCTTGATCCTCATCACATAAAATGATAGGACCCGAAGTTCCATCATACAAAAAGATCAGGCATGAAGTCCTTTGATCCTGAAGATCAGGACATGAAATTCCTTGATGAGTACCGTAAGTTTGAAGTGCCACAGTGCCTCAACTTAACTATAATAAAGGACATAAGAGTCTCAGTTCACAGACTATTAAACAAGGACCAGAAGTTCCTCATGTCCATACTCAAAATGGTTTAGCAGAAGCATTTATTAAGTGGGTGAAATCAATTACCAACGCTCTGCTCATGAAAACGAAATTGCCAATTTTCTACATGGGAACATGTAAACTTTACATGATGCATTATTAATTCGATTGAGACATGTTACCAACCATCAATACTTCTCAGTACAACTCGTGTTTGGGAACCAGCCAAGCATTATACTTTCACGAGTTTTTGGTTGTGTTGTCTATGTGCCTA